CTCTCTGATACCTTGGAACCCAACCATTTTAGCCACAGCAAAAGCCACATTCCACCACCACGCAACAAAGAAAACGCAAGATTGCCAGAGAATGTGTCGCGCAGATGAAATTCACATTGCCTTGGCATTTGCGTGAGCATTGCTTTTTAAGGTCTCGCAAGCCAGTCATTTGAGCCGCCACACCACCCACACACACCACCTGCCCAGCAAAGGCTGTAACCTATGCCCTTTGCTTGACAAATGCATGGCTGCACAAATCTCACGAGTGGAGTGACTGCACTCTTGAGGGGGGCGGATTTGAATGTTTAGATTTTTTAATAAATTGCCAGGCAGGGTTGGGAACATAACAATTTAGCCAAGGCTGGCCAAACTTTTTTAGGCAGAGCCTATGTTGGGTCCCCTCCACATTTATCCAGGTACCCAACCCCAATTTATCCACTTTTGAGCCCAAGCTTGAAGTTAATCGGTGTCCTCGTTGGGTACCCTCACAATTTATCTACCTTCAGGGGGACCCAACCCCGCCTGGTGTAGCCCAAGGAGGATGTCGGACCGTTTGCGGTGCTAGTTGGTTCTTGTTCGGAATATCAGAGTGCACCAATTCAGAAAACTCGCCGCTGACATTTTTCGACGTGGCCAGCAAACCTGCCAGTTGATTTTGCAGTTGTTTGCCCTTGACATACGCATCCCTCGAATGGGGACGGGGATTCCTTGATCTTGGAAGGTTTGAAGTTTTTGCCATTCTTCTCTTGCTTGGTCCGCGAGAGCGCGGAGCAGTACTCCCGTTGATTTGTTTGACTATCTTTCACTATGTTTCACCGGAGATCCCGTTTGGATCATACTGACTGTATCCGCTCACCAGAGCTCCACAGTTATTTGATTTGTTGTTGTTCTTAGTTCTTAGTTTGTTTGTTCTTACTACCTCTTCTTCTTCTTCATCTTCTTCTTCTTGTTTTTTGAACCTAAGAAATAGTATCGGGTGTAAACAGTTATCTTTCCATTTACCTCATTTTACTGGTGCATTTTTCGACCTCTCTCGGTTCGGTGTGAGCTCCATCAGGTGCCGAAGTGGCTCTCAGAGTTGGATGATCTGGGCTTCGTGGACTCGGATACCTACAGGCGGCTACCCTGAGACTTGGAAGGGGCCGAAGAGATATGCACGAATTCGACGGAAGACTTTTTGTTAGAAAATAAACAATCCAGATACACTTGGGAGGATTTGACATGTGAGGTTTAACTGGGGGGATTCTGACCCCAGGTGTTGACTTGTGGACACCTTGTTCCTTTTCTTCCATGCGAGATTGAGAAACAATCGATTTGCCATGAGGCAGTTCATCGATACCGCAGTTGCGAAGGGAAGCTTGGACGAGGCCTTTTCTTTGCTTGGAGAACTCCAAGAACCATCGAAAACCCAAGAATTGTAGCCACTCCAGAGAAGTCCAATAGCCCAACTCAGTGGCACTGCTGACACCGAACACTGGTCGTTGCCGTAAAGCATGCGTAAGCTGTGTGAGGCCAGGACCTGGGCGGAGAAAGCCCGTGCTCAGGGAATGCCTTTGACCGCTCAAGACTTGCAGAGCCTCATCAGTCAGGCTGGATCCGTCCAAAACCGAAGTCTGGTAGGTAGACCTGGTAGACATCATGTGTATGACCAGGCCCTCACAACAAATGATGCAGATGCGGCCAAGTTGTGGTTGGCGTGGGCCTCATGTGGGGTTCCCACCAGTGGGATGAGGTGGATTGATGCTCACCCCAATTGAATTGGATCCTCAATTCGTGGCACTACAAACCCTTAAGAGACAAGAGACTTGTTGGAAGCACATGCGCTGGATCGGGCAACTTGCACGATCTGGAAAGAGTTCAGCTGCAAAACATTTGAACATTTTGAAACATGAAGAAGCGTGAATTGTAAAGGAGAGGCCATGAGGGGTGTTTGGATGTAGGGTGTGTAATGTTCACCGTGTTCAAAGCCCTGTGAACTGTGGATGAAAAGGGGCCGCTGAGCCGTGTTTGGAGTTGTTTAGGGTCCATCAAATTCTGCACCGTCACCATCACGGACATGAGCCACGAACGGCCAAGGAGCAAACTCTATCAACAGAGGAGAGTCCTGGGTGTTTGAGGGTTAGTGTGGGCAACTAGCCCAGCTGTCCTGGCCTGGCCATCGACATTTGTTACTGTAAGACTCGCTGATTCGGGGACAGTCGTCGTTTGAAGCATGGCTTTCCAGTGACTGATCCATGACTCGTGATCCACCATGTTTTGCAAGGAGCTCACAACTCATCAGAAGCAGAAAATTTGCTTCCTAGCTGCTACTTGCCTGCACTTCTGCGGAAGAATGCGGGGTCACCTTTATCGGAATTTCGGACCTCTCCCAGGAAACCGAAAGTGGCGCGACTCGCGCTGGTTGAGGTGGTTTGTGTTTGGAAACACAAGTGGGCCTTTGTCCCCACTCAACAGTGCTTTGGGTGATTTGAGGAAGATCTGATCGTTGTTTCTTTTTGTGGCAATTTGTTTTTGCATATTTCTATTGTGGTAGGTTTTGAATAAATGAGCAAAGAGCTGTGACACTGGTAAAGCTTCCATTAAGGTCCCATGAGTACAGGATAGAATGTAAAGGATGCACAAGGACACCAGGACAGCAAGATGCCTCCTGGCACATGCCTCCTTCCTGCACGCATGTGGCCTCACCCAGCTTTTCTCCCAGGTCTTTCTAGTAGCGAGGAAGATGGGCTTCGGCGTCTTGCACGATCTCTTGTTGAAGGGTGGCGAGGAGCCGAGTCGCTGGCTCCGGAACAAGGCGTGGAGAGTCGTCACAGAGTTCTGCGGAACAAGGCGTCGTATCAAAAGGTGTCTCACAGGCACGGTGAACGTGAAAGACGGAAATAACAAATTAAACAATACATTTATACAGTATATTTATATAATATAATATACGTATATACATTTTTAGATTTTCAAGACATTACATATCTTCTAGGTTTTGGAAGGTGCTGGTAAGAAGCATTCAGGTTGAAGGTGTAGCTTCATGACCAGGCTCGCTGGCTCCTGGAGATTTTGAGGGCAACCCGATCGGACGGACTAGAAGAACTAGGACCGCTGCCGAATGGCCACGTTGTTAGCTTTTCCATTGAACACGGATCCTGCCTTGACTGGCTGAAAAACATGAAAGGCACATGAAAGACTCACGAAAGATGGAACTATGCAGAACTCGTGGAGGGCAATGCCAAGCAGTCAATAGTCTTTTTTTTCTAGCAGATTGAAGACAGCCTCTTGCGCATCCCCACCTGCAACATACTTGCAGGACGACGCCTAGACGATGCGTTGCAAGTTGGAGCCCGGAACCTACAGGGTCCTACAGCCCCTGCAACAAGGGAAGAAAAGAAGAGCATTCTCAAGGTCCAAAGGATTCTTAAGGTCAAAAAAAAGGAAGGACACGGACGAAAGACGATCACACCTTTCTCATGTTCTGCCAAATTTTCCTGCAGGTGGAGGCGGACCACAGCGTTTTCAGATACCTGCTCTATGAGGCTCTCAAGGTGGGCATGTGGGTTCCGTGTGTCGAGTTGAAGCATCGAATCAAGCGGGATCCAACACCGCCAACGTGCCAGGTTCCTGACTTCGAGTATGTCACCAAGTGGTTCACAAAGGCGGTGAGACATGGCGTGGTGCCAGAAACTCCCATTGCAACTTGGTTTGAATTTGTCATTGGATGATTTGGATGATTTTGGCGGGATTTCGGCTGCAGGTGCCACTGATGGCCTTACCAGGGAGAGATTCAAACAGAAAATTGACCAGCTTCTCGGGTTTGCAGTTGCACTGAATCATTCACAGTGCGGGTGGTCCTCTGATGGTGGAACATGGTGGAACAACTTTGTTTTAAACTTTAAACAATCATCCTCCCTCAATGCGAACCCCTTGAAGAGCAATGTTTACACTCTGCTTTGTCCTGCTCACATTCGTGAAACAGTCAGGTGAATCACATCATCGGAGAGGCCAGGCTTGGGCAGGTCGAACTTGAAGAACTTGGCACGTCAAGCCGAGACGACAGGGACTTTCAAGGATTTTCCTCTACCAGTTGGGGCACTCCAAATTTGCTTTGGATCTTTGTCCAAGCATGCTTCTCTCAGCATTTCAGGTGGCCAAGATGCAGGGCCTTGCTGCTGCTGAGGACGTCCTCAATTGTGTGGTATGCTGGGCCGTGCGCGAAGACAACACCGAAACAGCCTGCAGGAATGGTTTGAAAAAGCCACGCGCGCCGGAGTGAAGCCCAATGCCCGGAAGCACAGCTGGTGATCTCACAAAAGGAAGGCACGATATAATACTGTACACACAAATGTACAAACGCCCCCGGTTTATAAGATGCACGTTAATGTTTTGATCCCGCAGTGTTTCGGCTTTTCAAGCAGTTGTGGCGGTGCATGAGTTGCACCGCGTGTCACTTCTGGCAAGGCAAGCCGAATATCTGTTCGGGGTGTCGCACCCTGTGCCGGATACAGAATATCTTCCGTGCAGGCGGCTTTCTGAGGAACCAGGAGGACGCTGTGGTGCAACTCTTGAGGACAGCGTGTGGTGCCATTGAGGACCTGAGCGAGATCGCCATCCCTTTGTTGAAAAAGGAACGTGCCGAGGCTAATCCCAAGGGGTTCGATACCTCTCCGGCACCAAGTGGCATCGGGAGCTCGGGTTCAGCTCCTAGTGTGGTGAGCAAGCCGCAGGAGGAGAGCAAGGAGGCTGTTGGTGAGGCCATTCCTGAGGCACCACCAGGTGACTTCGGCGTGAAGGCCAAGGAGGAGCACACGGAGGAGAAAGAGCCGGTCCACACGGTGTCAAAGAGCCCACCTGCACGAGAAGGTACAGCGGAAGCATCAGGTGAAAAGAAGAAGAAGAGGAAGCGCAAGCATACAAGCGGAACAGGCCCTAAGAAAGAGAAGAGTAAAAGAAGGAAGAAGGCAGAGAAGGAGGAGAAGACAACGGACGGTGCTGGAAGCACTGGGTTGAACTTGGATACCATTGCAACTACAAAGGAGGAGAAAGATCAGTTGGTGGCCACTTTACCCCAGCGGTTCAATTTACGTCCAGCTCCCAAGGGCACGGTTGCCGCCATTTCGCACACCACGAGCTGCCACCGCCACCTCCGGCCCCACGGAGGCCAAAGAGTCCAGATCATCCACCGCCCAGTCGTGGCCACGGACGAGGGCACTACGATCATCGTTACCAGAGGGAGAGATCCCGTTCCATTGAGCGAAGGCCCCAAAGGCGAAGGGGTTCGAAAGGAGTCAAGCATCGCGAGAGGGGCCGCTACTGGCCCTTCCGTCGTCGGTAGGCACCATGCCACCGAAGGCCAAAGTGAAGGCCAAGGCCAAGGCGAAAGCCCTGGCAAAGGCCAAGGCAGGTGCAATGAGGATTCGGAGACCTTTGAGGGCTCTGGCGAAGGTTGCTCTACGACGCCCCGCAGCTGGCCACCCTGGAGGACCCGCTCCCGCCCCTCAGGAGCGATGGAGGCGTGGAGAGACTATGGGAGCAGGAGAAGTGCCGGTGCTGGAGCTTGCCAAGGAGAGCGAGGTCATCATCCAGGAGGGGTCCTACTTCGGGGGCGCATGTCGCGTCGCCGGGGTGATCAAGGGCCTGGAAGTGGAGAGAGATGCAACCCACATCATCTTGCAGGCAACAGGCACCGATGCCGAGGCGTTGCTTCGACATTGCACCGGACGGCCCTCAGGTTCGCTGAGGGTTCATCTTTGCGGAAGCGACTGCGCAGGAGATCGAGTAGCCGAGGACCTGGTCCATGCAGTGAAACTCCGACAGGCCAAACCCAGGGCGGAGGAGGACCCCTGGACAAGGAACCTGTTGAGCGTGGAAGGAGCGGCCGGAGACGACCTCAAGGACCTGCGGGCCAAGAAGAAGGAGCTCGAGGGCGATGGGAGCAAGAGTCCCGGTCGAAAGAAGAAGGACAAGAAGAGGAGCAGGAGTCGCAGGTCGAAGAAGCGATCAAAGAAGTCCAGAGGACGATCCAGAGGTCACAAGAAGGAGAAGAAGGAAGCTTCGGGACGCGATGGCGCTCCTGCCCGGAGATCCAGCAGCAGCAGCAAGGATGTTCGGTTGGACGGAAGACGTCCGAGAGGAGCCTCGATCAAGACCCCGCAGGCTCTCTTTGCCGGGACAGGCTGGATGGCAAGGAAAAGGTGAGAAGGAGAGTTGCACGCAGGGCTCGAAAGCTGGTTCGGCGGAAGAAGGCCGAGAGGAGCGGGAGCAGCAGCCGCAGCTCCTCGACCGGCAACGACGAGGACCTCGACATCGGCCAGGACGAGGGGTTCTTCGAGAGCGAGACAAAAGTGCAAAAGGTAGCGGAAGCATGCCCCGGAGCGCTCGCCGCCAGATCTATCGTGAGCATGCGAAAGGTCCTGTTGGAGAGTGCTGGGCTGGATGCGGAAGAGCAACTGGTCAGCACCACCGCAGTGAAGTACTTCCGGCAGGAATTGCAGAAGAAAACCTCTGGCCCTGTCAGCAGGGAGTTGGTAACACTGTGCAGCGCTGTCGACCACTTGCTCCGTGGCAGGGCGGCTCAAGCCATGGATTGCATGCTACAGGGAGTCAAGTCGGTGGAGACCACCATTGCGGGATCCCACTGGTCAGTGTCGCAGAGGCTGGAACTTCCCCCTCTAGATATGCAAACTATCGCGCCCAGGGAGGAGATCATCAGCGCTCAGAAGGCAGCTGCGATCGACGCCCGATCCCGGTTCCTGGCGGCCCAGCCGGATGGTCGAGGGAAAACAAAAGGTCCAGGGAAGTCGAAGGAGCAGCCTCATCAAGAGTGGCGCAACGATCGCGAACGCGGAAAGGGCAAGTCGTCTGGGAAGAAGGACAAAGGAAAGAAAAAAGAAGAGGGCTAGGCCCCTGTAGGCGGGGGCCGAACTATGAGAAGGTTGGTGAGGAGGACATTGATTGCACTGAGGTAGCGAGGCGCTACTATGGTCCGGTGCATGGTCGTACAGCCATGGAGTGCCATGGGGCTCCGGCCAGGGGTGTAATACCTGAGGCCGATGAGGTGGCTATGTCAGCCGCCGTTTCTTCGTACAGCTTTCCGCCTGATCCCCCCGCATTTGAAGTGACGGGGATGAATGGCGCAGACTCCGCACCGAGCTTTGAGTGTGGAGAAAAAGGGTGGCTCGCATTGGGAGAAGCAAACCAAACTGTTCCGGGGACAGGGTCTTTCTTAGCTCAGAGGTTACTGGAGGTTTTACCACTTCGCAGCAAGTCCACGGGCAGGGAACCAACATCCGCCATGTTGCCCTTGCCCGCCTCCAGAACGGTCCTCACGCAGCTCTGGCCTGATACCCCGGAAGTAGTTTTGTCATGGGTGAGTTGTGTTTGCATGTCGTTGAATTCTTTTTGGGGTGATACACTGCACTCTGACCGGAAGCCTTCGTCGGGACAGCGGAAGGCCCTAGGTTTCATCAAGGAGGATGTCGACAGGTTCTGCAAGCTTAGACTTCCTTTGGAAGGGGTTGACTGGAGCCAGTTCTTCTCGGTTCGGGGAGTAGACTACAAGGGTGATGAGGTCCGGGTTGCAAAACGTATTGGATGGTCCAACATTGCCCCGGCTCTCCCCAAGGAAATAGGAGTGGCGCCGCTCGAGCAGGTGTGCACTCTGGGATGCCGTGAGTACGTCTGCTCCTTCGACAGCTTTCTGAAGCCGCGGGAGCAGTGGGGAAGGATCACACAGCCCAAGGTAATGGTTAGTGACTCCGAGTGGCCCCGGCTGTGCTCAGGGTTGGTTGATGCTGGAGTATGCTGCTACATCGAGGAGGAGATGGTCTTCGATACAGGTCAGGGACCCCTCCTAAACGGACTTTTTGGAGTTTCGAAGGAGGAGTGGACTCCAGACGGGACAGAGATCTGCCGCCTTATTATGAACATGATACCACTCAATTCCCTCTGTGAATCCCTTTCCGGACACGTGGATAGCCTCCCCTCTTGGGGAATGATGAACCCCTTTTTTCTGCAGCCGGGAGAAAACCTCCTGATTTCATCAGAGGATGTGAAGTGTTTCTTTTACACAATGAAGGTACCAACTGCATGGGTAAAGTTCTTGGCGTTCAACAAGAGGGTACCGGACTCCTGTCTGCCCGACAGCCTCTGCACACAGTCTACTTGGCGTCAAAGGTGTTACCTATGGGGTTCTTGAACTCCGTCAGCCTCGCGCAGAACGTCCACAGGAACTTGGTGCAATGGTCTCGGTTTCAGGGGGTTCAGGTTCATGCGGAGGAGGCCGAACTGAGGAAGGATCGTCCCTTCACTGTTTCTGACCCCGCCTGGAGGGTCTACCTTGACAACTACGATCTCCTCGAGAAGGTAGAGGCCACAGGCATGGTCGCTCTGGAGGGCACGGTGTCGGAGCGGGCGCTTGCTTTGCGTGGGGAGTACCTCAAGTGGGAGGTTCCAAGAAATGAGAAGAAGTCGGTGCGGAGGTCATCGCACTGTGAACTGCAGGGTGCAACCATTGATGGTGTGGCTGGCCGCCAAGTACTATAGCATGGGTCTCAACCTCGCTCACCAGCAGCGGGTGAGTCAGAAGCAGTTGCAGGTGGTGTGTGGTGGACTTGTCTATTTCGCCATGTTCAGGAGACCGGCACTCGGCTCTCTGAACGCAGTTTGGCAGTTCATCGAGTCCTTCAACATTCCTGGACCCGCCTATCGGCCCATGCCACAGGTGTGCCGGCTTGAGATTCTGCGATTCCTGGGTCTGCTCCCTTTGGTCCGAATGAATTTCCGTTTGGATGTCAAAGGGATGGTTACTTGCAGTGATGCTTCAACTAGTGGTGGAGGAGTTTGTTGCTCCAAAGGATTGACTTCAGTTGGGCACATGGCTTCACTAGGTGAGTTGAGGGGCCGGATGGCCAACAGCATTTCGGAGCATTCGGTGCTCTTGATTGGACTTTTCGACGGCATTGGAGCATTGAGAGTTGCGATGGACCTTCAGGAGACTTATGTGTTAGGGTATGTTTCCGTGGAGATGTGCAGCAACGCTCGTCGTGTCGTGGAGTCACACTACCCTGGCGTGGAGCATATCGATGATGTGGCCAACATCTCGGCGGAGGTCGTCCGAGGATGGAGCCTGAGGTATTCCCAGTGCAGCTTGGTGATTATTGGTGCTGGACCACCGTGTCAGGGAGTATCCGGATTAAACAGTGACAGACGTGGTGCGTTGAAGGATGGGCGCTCCTGCCTGTTCGCCCATGTA